ATGGGCTGAATTGCACAAAACGCATGATCGCACCGGCTAGTCTGGTGCGTGTTGCTATTTATTGATATATTTGGTTTACCTTAAGGTGGAATTCACAAAATATTGCAAGAAATGCGACTCTCTCCAAAAACTATCACATTAAAAAAGTATAGTTTGATGTGAAGCTAGGTTTATAACAAGAGTGGAGTGGTGGATATGCATTGCAGTGGATGTTGCTTTGAGTACGTGTGCATGCTGCCCGCAAGAGCGACAAGCGTAGTTTAATCACAAGTAGGAGAGAGGTAAAGGCAACATCCGATGTAGCGGAATGTTTGCTGATGCCGCTAGTAACCGGTAAATATCGCATATGAGCTCGCGTGGGAGAAAACGAACTTTTGGTTGTTTTTCTGGGTGTCATTGTAACACCAGCAAAATCTCGACGTTTGATTGTTTGCGCGAAAACATAACAAATCGAAAAGTTTTAAAAATTCACAAAAATTTGCAAGACTGGAACAAAATATTTGGTTTAAAGTGACGAGTAATAGTTCCAACAGACAGGGATTAGTCTGCATTATATGCAAACGTGTCTTTATATGTATGGTCAACATGCAAGAATTATGTGCAAAATTTCACACTGATCGCTGGACTCAGCCTTTATAAAGAAACGAGAAAATGATAGCTCCAACTTGTGACATTTTATTTTTCTGGACACCTTTCGTCTCCTTCGTACGTCGGAGGTCCGACTCAAAAGAAAATTCGGTTCAGCTACGACTCGTTCATCTTTTCCAGTGGCAAATTGGTACCTACGGACTCCAGGAATTAAAAACCCCATTAGTTTGTTTCTAAGCAAACTTCGACAAATTAGACCACCGACAAGCTTGCCAGTGCGTAGTTGTGTTGTTGGCGTTTGCTACCAATCGAGCTACTTCTCGGATGCTTCCACTTCCACAGAGGGCTACTACGGAGGGGATTTCGATTTTGACTTTTTTGCATAACTCTGCTAGTGAAAGTGCTTTCAAAATTTATTCCTTAAATTTTGACAAATTTATTTCAGCCGGTAAAATATCAAATAGTGCTCACTTGATACCGTTTACAATGGCCGTGAAAATTCTCAGGTAACCAAAATTCAGCAAATTAAAAAGTTTGTGGGTCAAGGCCGAGAAATGCTTACTGAAAAGATGTGGAGGAATGCATAGAATCAATTAATGGATTGTTACTGCCAATTTCAAAGGAAGCTAGGATTTTTTGACCAAAATCTCCAAAGCAAGAACGACCATCCTCATTGGTATTACCAATATTATTAAGAAATTACTATGAGGTAGATATATTGTCTACGCAGACCTCGTGGTAATACGTCTAATTAGTCAGCGGCCGGGTGCTTGCTGAAGGCCTATTACACTAATAAGTGGTTTTCTGGTCGAATTTCAATGACTACATTGGCGTTACCAACGAGTCAGACTGCTGCTCTATGCTGGAAATGCAGAAAGCCGCATGGAAATACATTTGTAAAGGAAATATTTTACCATATTATGAATAATCGGTTTATTATACATTTTTGCATATATGCAACTGCAAAAACGCATATTGTGACGATCCATGATGTGCGTGTGTGTGCATGTTCGTGTGTTTGTGTGGATGTATGTGTGTGTGTGTCTGTGTGTCTGTACCGAGTATTCCAACTCGGCAACCAAGCTAGCTTTGGTGCCAGAGTTTTGCCAGTGTGTTCCCCGGCCAAGTGCCAACCCCCACGCACGTTTAGTCCCAGCGTACGACCACGCGGAGGTTTTGGCGGCAAAACGGCTGACTCGAGAACGAGAAAGGCTAGGATGCTGAAACTTTAGGGGGATGTTTCCTGGTCATGTGCAACTAAAAGATTTTAAATTCAACTCTTCTAGTGTATCTTTTTCGCGCATCAACAGTCGCTCATTTTTCGGGTCACTGAAGCCGAAATATACAACTGACATGCCATGCAGTTGCACAGTTAACTTCCCGAACTTCGTGAGCCAGTGTGCAACAGATTCTAGCTACTTGAGATCTTTCTACAGCACGAAATAGCGCAAAAACGCGTAATCGCACCGGCTTGGCTGGTACTTTTCAGCCTAGGTTATCATTATCTGCATCATGGCGCTGTAAAATGATTTATAACATATATGTATTATCCAGTAACGAACTTCGGTAGCACGTTTTTTTGACAACTACCGGCTTTTCGCAAGGATTATACGGTGGAGTAAAAACCATCTATCTGTGTTTCATCGCTTAGTTATAAACACAACAGTAATCACGAGTGGTTGGGCTGAAAACCTTCAGTATAGCCCTACCTCTACTCACCAACTGAGGAAGTATATGTACAAAAAAACGTTACAAAAGTAGCAGCGATTTTTCTTCCTCAACGAAAACATGTGAAGGCCTGTCAGTGAGGTTGAGTCATGGCAATTATTATCGACGATCTGTTTTAGCTTACTGCTTTTTGGTGCAGTTGTGTTCACTGTACGTGGAAGCGATGAGGCTACGACGCCTGCAGCTAAAGTGGTTGTTGGTGAATTCACGGCTGAACAGCAGCAGCAATCGCCTGTAGTTGAAGCGATAATTCAGGAAATGGCATATCACCGGCGTCCATCTGTAGATGAAGTGAATGCTACAACAACTACAAGTGAAGAGCACCCACCTACGGAAGCAGTGGAACCTCCGACAACTGAAAGCGGGCGGCATGAAGCGGAGGTAGGTAGACGCAGAAGGTTGATGGTTCGCGTTTCGCTTGGAAAAATTTACAATTCTTTTTGTCAAAAAAATAAGACAAAAAGTTAAAATTCAGCAAAGAGGAACAAGGTTCCCAGGAACAAAGGAAAAAAACCTGTCCTTATTTCGCATTCATTACAAATTCGAGCGGCAGCGCTTTGCCTACACTGCAAATTTGGGTCTAACATGTGCATGCAGACTAAATTCTCAAAATTTCGTCCTTATAGCTTTTGTAAATCTCGAGATGAGAAATCGATACAGGCGAACATATAAACACACGCACGCACGCAGACACACACACACACATAATCCCCCAACAATATGCGTTTTTGCATAGCATAGATGCAAAAAAAAAAAAAAAAAACGCACAAAAATCAGAATTTCAAGAAATAATGAAAATTAAAAATTCAAGATGCGTAGTGAGAGAATTCCGATTTCAGGAAAGCGGATCAGTGGAAGCGAATGTTCTCTCAGTGATGCTGAAACCAGCCCCATATAGCGATGATCCGGAATTAATTGCTCTACGTGAAAGCATTGATTATTCGAAGAAAATTACAACTGAAATGGCAGAAAATGACCAAGGTGTTTAATTCCATAAAACATCATATTATAATTAATTATTTTTTCTTGATATTTCACAAACCAAACATTTCCCAATGATTTATTACCTTTTTTCCCCTTATTTTACAAACTGAATCCTAGGACCAAACACTGGACAGTCTACCCTCTTTAAAATGATGTAGCTTTTGATCACTCTTGTATGTGAGTTAGTTATTCTGCATTATGGACCTTTTTTATATGTAAACTTTTGACGCCTCACAGCAGTGGTAAATTCCTTTCTCTTCTCATTTTATTTTTCTTCCTTTTATCCTTTTCTGTTTTATATAAGAGCGTAGTATAATATCTCCTGGTTAGCTTTTTTTTCTGACAAATAAGTTGAAAAGTAATAGTTACATATGCTAGTTTAGACATCGCCTGAATACAAAATATTGAAAATTATTAGCATCAACAGAGAGAATCGTGCAAAATGCATGATCATGCCGGCTACGTTTGTGCGCGCCGCTATTGCACTATGCTAAGGTTCAAAGTTTCTTTTTCTTGATGGGTTGGGGTGTCGACGGAGTGACATTTTGTTGCGCAATTGATAACCTAAATTTTAGTACTCGAAATAGCTGTTACTTTTTCAGCTTTTTTGATCAATGCTGCATTTTTTGATGGCCAGTTTGCTAACGATCTTCAGTTCATTTTTTCGCATGAAAATGCAACCAGCTTAACGATTCTTCCGACTTTGCAAGGCTGTAGCAGCTGGCGATGTTCCTCGTGTTTGTTAAACAGTACCGTCTCATCTTGAGCGTTGCGGTTTGAGACCACGATAAAATAACCCGCTGACTGGGGCGTAATCTCATCCCTTCATACTTCTTATTTTTCTGCCATTTTACATCCTTTTTCAGCTGGACGTCCGGTACGTGTGTTCGCTAATGGCGTATATGATTTGTTCCACTATGGGCATGCGAAACAGCTAAAACAAGCAAAAAATGCTTTCCCGAATGTTTATCTTATCGTTGGAGGTGTGAGTGACGGGAGTTTTTTGATCCTTAAGGAAACATATCTTTAAGTAGCTGAAAAATAATTTTTCAGAAAAATATTCCAGAAAAATGATCTTTCGACTGACTACATTTTTTAGTCGCAGAGCCATCGAAAGTTGTACCATCGGGTAGTTGCTGATAACACTTTCTTCTACTCAGGCTATTTTTGCATTCCTGTCCACCTCATAGAAATTGTTACGGAGAAGGGAAGGCGCTAAGGGGTGAGGGAGAGTGTCAACTACGAAGTTGACGAAATTGATGTATGACAAGTGGTACCACCAACCCTGTAGCTTCTGGTCAATGGTTTGATTGTGGCAATGAAAAAAATTACTCCTTTGTGATTTTATGATTCTTTTCAATGGTAGCTTGATACTGAGTTTTCTTCACGTCAGTGAGTCTAACCATTTTTAGCTTGCTTCTTGAGAAAAGCTCAAAATAAAGGTTTACCTATAGTTATGCCCGTAGTCTACTGCAGTCATTGTGAAAATTTTTGAAATGGCAGACGAAGTAAGGAAGAGTTTGACTCAAAATATGTGTTATTTGAAACAGTATGAAGTCTTTTCTCCAACTATGCAGTTAGCAGCTTTTCCAACTGTGCTAACCAATACTGAATCACCTCTTGGTCAGCCCGCTGACAATTCCTAAGTTTTCTTCGGTTTTTGAAGGAATTACCGATTTAACGATTCTCACAACTGAAGTACAAGGCAAAGCTTTAACTGTTCATTATGTCCTCAGTGTGATTTGAGCAACAACATCTCGAACATTGTTGTTCTTAATCATAATATTACAACTTGTCGATTATCGTGAAACTCGCGATAGCTTATCGTAATATCACAATAATTTATTTAGCAGTTTTTTACCAGAATAACTGCGATAATTTATTGAAAGATTACTACTTTTTTAATGAACCGAAAATCATAGTTTTTCTAACGAAAACTACGATTTACTGTCATTACAGTTATTTGCCGCAACTTCACTTTTTCTCTGTTCAACTATATCTTGTTTTTTAAAAGTTTTTAGCCCGCTTCTACCAATAGTCGGGTTTTGTTGAGTTCTAGAAATTGTTTTAATGCCGTAATTAGTTACAGTTTCGAAGTTTATAAGCAAATTTTAGTCTGTGGTGATGCAAGCGCCCTCAAATATAAAGGTCATACCGTATCGACGGAAGATGAAAGATATGATGGCGTGCGCCACTGTCGTTATGTGGATGAGGTGTACAAGGATGCTCCGTGGCACTGTACAGTTGAATTTCTGAAGGAACTCAAGGTGTTTCTTGGCAGTGCACATTGTTTTTAGACCTCATATATTTGAATATCATTTTCTCCACTAGCTGCGAACCTCAAGTATTTGCTATAGGAATTTTTTTTGCATGTTTTTATGCGTTTTGCATACACGTAAATGCAAAATAACATACTAACGAAAGGCTGTCTGTATATGTGTGTCTGTGTATTTGAACTTCTTGTCGCCCGCTTCCAACTCGAGAACCGAGAAAACTAGAAGGCTGAAACTTCGGAAATATGCGCTCATACCATATGTGACCCTCCTGACTAACGTCACCCGCGTACGCCAGGGTCCCACGTACGCTCGCCTTAAAAAAACATACAGATTTTTTGGCGAGAAAGCGATCTCGAGAACCAGAGAAGATAGAAATCTAAAACATTGCAGCGATATTCCCTGTACATGAGTGAGCTAAAAATTTCGCGAATATGCCATTTTAATTAGGACCATCTAAAGAGAAGGGAGATAAAAGAAAGACCAGAAATTGTAGCTGAAGTAGGCACTAGCATAGACGAGGAAGAAAGATAACACTATTACTGCTTGCTGCACATTTCTGGCTTTCCAGATTGATTTCCTCGCTCACGATGCGCTATCGTATGTTGAGCTTGGCGATGAAGATTTGTACGAACCGATCCGACGTGAGGGAATGTTCCTTGAAACACAGCGAACAGAGGGCGTCTCAACTAGCAACGTTGTTTGTCGCATTATTTCTGATTACGACAATTACGTACGCCGCAATATTCAGCGAGGCTATTCACCTGAGGAACTAAATGTCGGAGTTCTTTCAGTAAGTTTACTGAAAAGCGATCTTAAAGTTTTATTCATTACTGGTTCGTATAAATGCCTACAATTTGACTTCATCGACGCCTTACTGGTAGATGGTTGTTATTGGCACTTGTTACGGCTCGAGCTATTTCGGGATGCTTACGTTTTGTACAGAGGGCGTATGAAAAAGAAGTTTTCATACGGCGCAAATAAAGGCGTTCTTCGTTCAGCGCTAAATTGATCTGGCCACTGCTGTAATCTCTAAAGTTGGAACATAAGATCTGGATACTTAAATGCCGTATTCCATTTTCTTTTTTTTAAAAGAGCGTGAGAGTACACCTGTGCGAATGATCAAAAAACTCTTTGACAGATTCGCACACGGGAATAATACTGTTCAGCAAAACATAAAAAATGGAGGTATGTGTCGCGAAAAGCGATAAGAAAACTACCTCAGAGAAAAAAGATATATGCTACCTATATGAGGGAGCCAAGAAAAGAAAGGTGCATTCTGTCTGTCTTGAAAGGCAGATACGCAGTGCTGCTAGGCTGATCCACAAGGGTCCATTGTGTAGGGGCAGCAACACTGCGTCCGGATGTGAAAAGGAGTGGTTCACTTCCTGCTGTTTCACAACCATTTCCCAAAATGGGCTCAGTTAGCGACAGTGTTAAGCAAGTAGATATCTGTTCCCCTAAAGCTTTTACGGAGAAATTCGACGATTAAGAATTTTGTATGCTTTTTTTGGTGCTCGATGTGATTGATAATGCAAAAACTCAGTCACTAATTGTTCTGCTGACCGAACGGAAGAGATTTTTGGCTCAACACATAGTGTTTAGCTGTTATTACTGTCATCTTCAGAATACAGAAAACTGTCAGCAAATGTCACAAATTAGAATACACATATTATTCCCACTGTTCAGTATGGCCAATCAATGTTCCTCCATGGAAACTTTTCCTCATCAATGATCTTCGCCAGAAAAATTTTCAAAATTTTATTTTGGATACATTTTAGGTTCGAAGATATCAGCTACAAAATCAGATGGACCAACTGAAACAAAAAAGTACGGGATTTCTAAGAACGCTGTGTAACAAGCGAGATGATTTTTTACGTGGATTCCAGGAAACCTTGCAAATGAACGGCGGAATTGGTTTTAACGTACGTCATTGTCAAAAGTTTTGTAAAATCAAAATAAACTGATTAATTGGGTGGAATTTCTGCGCCACTTCACGGTTGGTTGGGTCACTGCCAAATTCTTACCAGGTGTAGTGTTTCATATTTCATTTACGTCAACAGAACTGTAACACAGCAGGAGAGAAAAGTACCTCGCAAAGGCTGCCCATCTTGCTCTTTTTCTTCTGCCTAGCTTTGAGCTCAGCTTTTCATTTATTTGTATTTTTCACCTTGAACAGCTTAGCCGAAGTTTTATAAAAGTAAATATAATGCTGCGCAATTTTATCAAATTTCAGCTTGTTGGTAATCGACTGAGGACGCTTGTATCACGCAGTCCGCCACCGTCGCATTATGAAAGACAAGCAAAAAATGACACAGTTGATGCCTCGTCAACTCATGATCAGCTGGTCGGAACACTTGAAGTGACAACTCCTGCTCACACTCAGACATCTGAAATTTTGTGAAGTATCCACTTGTTTCGCCGACAATTTTTGCTTCAGAGGAAGATTTGTTGCAGATTTAGTTAGAACAGTGATACTGCTTAAACCTTAAGAATAGTGATATTGCTTAAACTTTACACTGCTACTTTATTATCCTCACCGATCCTATAATTTTATTTAGCAGCAGATAAATATCCTTTGGGATTTATAGGTTTCATCAGTGTGACTGAGTTTTTTCTCCTCTGTTTATCCGTCAATAATATCCACATATAGGCGAGTGTTGTCAAGAATTTGTAGGATTTATTTGTGCGACTCATTTTTTACATCCTCACTTACCCAGGCAAATTATCAAGTCAAGAAATATTCTAGTAGCATTACTAACATGAGACAGCCACACTGATTGCCTGGCTGAGCATGCTCGAGAAGCACAGTCACGAGGTACAGCGTCGAGAGGTGAAGGTTCGAAAGATATACAGCCGGAAGAAGCAGCGTCGAAAAGTATAATTAAGAAGTACATCGGGAGACGATGTCGAGAAAAATGTAGCCACAGGATGCACAGGGTTAGGATTTTAATAAAACTACTTGGAATTATTTTAATAAAAGGATTTTAATAAAACTACTTGGATTTTAATAAAACTACTTGCAAACAAAAATATTTGTTATGAGACAACCCCGAATTTCCGCAGCAGATTAGTGAACCTCATTTATCCTACTTTTACAAGTACTCAACAAACTCCACGCAACCTCAACAAAGCACTGCATAAGGAAGGTTTATTACAAATACTATAGACTGAATTATTAATTTCCATATATCTGCAAATTTCATTCTGAATAAGTGCAGTTTACTTCACTATTACCTAAAGTTTATTTATAGAATAACGTTAATAATGCTGCTTTAGGCTAACTAATATCATCTAAAAATATATAAAAGTAAATCAACGTATAGTTCACATGCGACGAACTAGTACCTGTTATTTACAGTGGACAAAAGTTACTTGCGTTATCAGTGTTTCCAAATAAGAAATTCCCAAATGAAAATCAATAAAATAATTCAGTCTTCAAGCTAGAAAAATGTTGGATAGTTCCTTGTATCTCATTTCGCATCGTCCACTGCATTTATAGCTTTTTCAAAATTACAAAGACCGTTCGGTCAATCGATATAGGTATTCCGAGGCAAGAGGTGGATGTCCTTCGTATATCAGGTTCGGCTTTGCCAGGATCTTCGATTCTGGACTATATATCTGCAATTTAATACAGGAATGATGATGTTTGGATTGTTTTCTCCGTGAAATAAAAATTCCAGGTCCGTATCTCCGAATTTTCGCTGGAATTTACCCATTCGTAGATTTCATCTCCTACGGCGTAATCGAGCCTTTTTAAAGCATTTTAAAAGCTGTTTTGGAATAATTTGATGGAGAGTGTATTTGAAGATGCCTTTTGCACAGTTTTTTGCTTGAAAGGGAACCCTTTCGATGGTATGAAGTCCATGTGCTTTTATCCAACGATGAATCCGCTGACCGCGCACGTTGTTTTGGCTGATCGATCATCGTGTTTTCGTTACGCTCCCAGTGATCCCTTGACTTATTCATTGAATAACTGCTTGTTGTCTTGATAAATTACTTCACAAGGTTCCTTCGATTTGCTGCCACATACTGTACACGAATTACCCGTCTTTTAACTGTGTTCACTGCCTGTTCAACGTATGTGCAAGCTAGTTTCACTTGTAAAATTCTTTACTTCTCTTTGTAGTATTATGTGCAATTTGACTTATGATTGGTTTCGCACAAAAATCTTGCTTAAGATTTACTTTTATGCAAAAAAAAAGTTATTTTTAGATTTTGTTCACAGTATGTGAAGTAGAAAGAGTTTTTTTCTGACTTCAAAGCGGTGAAAAAGCGAAAATCAGAAATACAAAGTTGTAAAGCCAATACGCTTCCTCACTTGGATTCACATACACACATTTCACCAAACATTTACTCTACGCTGAAAGCATTAAAATCTGAAATAATTTTAAGGCATTAAAAATCTGAAAGCATTAAAAATCTGAAATAATTTTAAGTAGAAAAAAAAAGTCATTTAGAAACATCCCTTTTCGAATCCGATAACAAGTCCTGCCAATCTAAATCCTGAAATTTATTCCCAATTACCATTTCTTACCTCTTTCTCCCAATGTCAAAGCATTAGGCCTACTGTATTTAGCAGCTTTTGTTGCGGGTAATTCCATGCAAGCCCGATTTCAATTTTCAGTACTCAAAGCCAGGTTCGTTGCTGTCGGAACCGAGAGAACTCGCTCTATGAATTTACAATTAACCGTGACAGAGTTCCACATTAATTTGATGTCTTGAAGTTTGCAGCAATATGTAACTTGAGTATCTTCGGCTGCCTGTAGTTCCAACCCGAGTGCAGTAACCACGCAAAACCTGCAACCTTACCTAGAAAGACGCAGGCTAAAACGCATCAGAATTGGTGCGATAATGCGCTTTTGCGCCAAACTTGAAGCAGTCAGGTTATCAAATGTCAGAATGGTTATTGCTCACACTTAGCTTGTGTGCTCTTAAGCGCAAACCTTGCCAATTTTGCATAAAAGACCCAGGCTGGAACGCACCGGGCGGGCCCGTACGATTATGCGTTTTTGCAACGGACTTAAATTACTCAGATCATTAACTGTATGAAATGACTGTTGCTTTACACCCACCTTTTGCGGTCACTAGCATAAATCACCATAAATTTTGCAGAGTAAATGTACAATTTCCATTTAA